AAAAAGCATGGAGTGCTCTAAAATTTCCTGGTGGATTTTGAGCTATGGGCTTCAGAAAACCCAGTGGACCAACACCAGCAGATACGGCTCCCCAAGTATTGGAGTCTGAACTTTTTCTACTCTTTCTCCAGACTCTGGTACCATACTTTCCAAATTATTCTCCTTTATCCTTAAAGATGCAACAGTATTTTTTCCATTTGTTTAAAAACTCAGCATTTGTCTTTCATCTGTTCCAGTTGTTAGATAATATAATCAGTAAGCAAGGAAGAACTAGAAGCTGTTGCTACTTACGACTGCATTCAGAGTCAGCGCAGAGTTTCTTATTTGATAGTTTGGGCATCTGCTTTCCAGCTTTGCAGGCTGTCAGGAAAAGCATCACAGAGAGAGCTAAAAACAGTCTGAAAGCCATATCAGAATGCAGAAAACACAGACTAAGACAAAAAAAAAAGTTTTATGATTGAAGAGGGTCCTGCTCAGCTTTTTATTCCTTTATTCCCCGTTTGCTGACTCCCGAGAGGAGGTGGGGTGTCAGTGCCCTCTCTCTTCGACACTCTCCCTGCCCCCTTCCTAGTAAATGAACAGAGCACTCCTTTGAAACACTCCAAGCAGGTAAACAGGACAGGAGGAGAAGGAGGGGGTGTGAGCTGAAGTTAACAGACCCCTATTTGTGTCCTCATCTCTTTCCATCCCAAAAGAAGACTGCTGAACTTTCAAGCAGCAACTTCCTCGAAGCTTGTCAGCCTTTTAATATCCCTGCTCAGCCACTAGATGTCCAAACAGCACCTGCTTCATCTGTTCCTGACTCTGTTTCCTTTACACCTTCGTGACTCTGGAGGAGGTGTGGCCCTCGGATTGTATTTACATGCCGTGTGTTTCCACTGCCAGGGAAACCAGCTGAGCCTCTCTTGCGCAAATACTGCCGGGCACACAGACAAAATGTGCGCACACTCAACACCAAACAGGAAGACTGTTTCTGGAGGCTGGTAACCCGTCAGGTAAGACTGACTTGATTCTTCTTCTTTGAGCCAGAATAACTTGGTTTCCGTCCGACTTCAAAGTTTGAATAATTTGACATACAAATAAGTTCTGAGGTGCTTTAATGTGGATGAATTATTGACTTTAAGAGGTGGAAGCAGAATGTTACGTCAAAGAGTGACCTCAGAAGGAAATGGTTTTGAATGAAATTTGTGTTAGAGCAACGTCACTTTAATTAAAGTGTGTGGAAAAAAACATGGAATATTCACAGTCGTTTCTGGTCACAAGGTTTTAGAGACTTTTTGCTTAAATTTCTTTACAGCCTGAGACTGAAACACAATGCTTACACTTGCTGTGGAATTTAGGGAGGGGAGCAAGAACAATGGTAATAAAGGAGTTAGATTTTCGGTCAGAGTAACCAAATCACCAGTCAGACAAAAGACCTCCTTGTGAAGGTTGTTAGATAATATCACCAGAAAACAACATGTCACGCTAAGCCTTTCTAAGATTGTCTGTATTGATTTCTTGCTGTTACAGATTTGTCTCTGAAGAGGAGAGTTTCTGAACGGTTGCCTCTGAAGAACGCAGTGGGAAACTAAATGAAAGGAGAAGGAATGGGAGTTCGTCCCTCACCTCTCTGACTCTGGGGAAGTCATCCGAAAGCCAAGAGGGTGATGGTTTCAAACTAATTCCTTAAGCCAACACGTTTCAGTCATGTTCACTCCCAGGAAAAACAGCCTTCCCTCGCCCAGCCTGGAGGACTCCTTCTTTCCTCTCTCCTCTTCCTCTTCGGTGTCTCTCTTTGCTTTGCAGTCGGCCTCGTCCCCCACCGACGGCATGGATGGTGGGGGGGCGATAGATACTGACCTGATACTGGCTGCAGAACTGGGACGGGCCTTGCTGGAGAAGAACGAGGAGCTGGCAGAAACTCTGCAGCAGAGAGAGAAAGAGGTGGAGGTAAGGAGATAACTGGGCTGAAGGGAAAATAACTGGACTCTTGTGTTTAGCATAAACAGGAAAAGACCACATGAATCAAAATGTGAGTCAGCTTCAAATGTGTTAAAAGTTGCTGTTCGTTTGATCATAAGATTCATTACTTAGGGTTTTTCCATCTAGAAAAATAGAAATGCGGTCACCCAATGTTGAGCCACCTATTGCTGACAAATAAGTCTGGAATGAAAGCTTTCTGCAACAGTAGGTGTTATATTGTGTCACAGACAGTGTCCTCTCAAGATTTTTCCACTGAGCTTATCTTCTATGAAAACACTGAAGGATCATTTCAACACTGGTTTAGGCGCTGTGTCTGGGTAAATGACGTAGAACAGGATTTCAACATGTTGATGCTTTTCTCAGTAAATATGTTTCTAATGAGGCTACATGAAATCCAAATATTGTCCAAAAGCCAAACACCATTCACACAGAGACCCTGAATAAGCAGAAGCAAAGGCATAATTTTTCTTCTATCAAAGCTTAGCTGCAATTTGCTCTCAATTTCTTCCTTTATATAACGTTATGGGTCACGGTTTATTTGTTAAATAGATCCATGTAGACAATTATTTAAAAATAATGAGAATTTTTTTGAATAAAGAAAACTAAATTGGGGTGCCCCACCCTAACCCCCCCCCCCCCCGCCTCCTCTGAAACAAATATGTGTCTAAACATTATTGTTTTGTAATTTACATATTCGAAGAAGAACTTGTTGCAAAACTAGCTAGTCCAGGCAGCCCACGTATTCCTAAATATAGTCCTAGCTGCAGGTTTCTCAGAAAAATGCAGTGTTTTTAGCTTCTAGTGCTGCATGTCACCTCATCAGTTCAGGTTTCTGACAGGCTCCAAACGCCCATGAACTCATAGACCATGCAAACACCTGACATGCATTCATGGCACTTCCAGGATATTTTAATCACACTGCTCATTCTACTCAACATCTGGTTTAGAGTCATTTTTTTTATTTGCTTTGGCTTTTCCTCTGCTTGATGTTTTATTTATTTTTTATTTTTTTACTAAGCCTAGTAAAATGTAAGAACAGTCAGATTAAAAGAATGACAATACACGTTAAATTATGCATAAAAAACAACTTAATCATGGATGCAAAAAACAACAAAAAGTTTGTTAGCAGTAAACTTAACTCAAACTTAACTGTGTATTTGGGGCAACTCTTCCTGTTAAGAACATCACCTCTACCAGCACTATTTCAAATGTTAAGTAACATGAGAGAGGCCGGCAAGTTTAATTCTTTTGAGCTCAAAAGCAATCACGGATCTATATGTGTTGTGTGTCAACCGCAATGTTTTATGCTTTGACCTGTGCATCTGGGCCCTATTTGTCTGTTTATCTGTATGTTCTAAGCTTTGAAAACTTAAAATAAGATTAATAAAAAATAAAAAGAAAAGAAGAAAAGCAATCATAGATAACTGGTCATTCTTTAACAAGATGGACAAATCAAGTTCAAATACAATAATCATTGTTCTGAGGTGCTTAAAACCTCAGATTGAAATATTACATTTGTAAAATACCTTAATTTCTGTAAGCGGGAACAACGAAATCAAATTGAATGGTATTTTTTTTCCTCAATAAACATGTAAAAAATTTTAGATGCACAGTCTATTAAAATTCAGGCATTTTTGAGGGGAATCCTGATGTCTCCCTTTTGTAGGCTCTGCTGCTGATATTCATTCACTCCTTGTCAATGAAGTTGATTAATGTGCAGTTTATTGTCTCAGGCTTTACAGCAGGAGAAGCACGTCCTGCAGAGGAAGCTGGAGATGAATGAACTGGAGGCTGGGCAGAAGGAGTCAGAGCTCAACGTAGACTTAGCTTCACTGAGGGCAGAGCTGCAGAAATACCACAGCGAGGGGCGGGACCGGAGGAAAGACGACAGCGAGCAGATGACTCAGTTGGCCAATCACAACCAGAGACTAGTGGAGCAACTATCTGAGGTTGGATCATTTTCACCTGTGTATTGAGTCACATCTGATGAACTTTTTTGGCTGCTATGCAGACAAACAGGTTTCACAGCCTTGCATCTCCCACATTTTCTAGGCTGTAACACTGGAGCACTCCCTGAGGACCGAGCTCCGCACCCTCAGAGAAGAGATGGAGGAGTCATCCTTTAGTCGAAATATCAGCTTCGCACAATTAGAAAATATGCAAGCTGAGGTATTATTAGAGCTTTCTTATCACTGTTAAAGTACTTTGCTGTGGAAAAGTATTTACTCCCTCATAGATTTCTCATGATTTTACTTCTTTTGATCTCATCTCATCAAACTAATTTCATTATAAGACTAGACAAAATTTGAGTAAATACTAAGAAAGAAAGAAAGAATTGCCCCTAAACCTAGTGACATTAGCATCGACTGCCATGAAGCATTTTGAATTACTGTCAATTACTCTGCCATAAGAAATGCGAACCTTCTAGACTGAACTGTTGAATTCAGCTACACTGCAGAATATGAACAAGCTGTTTCAAGTGATGCCACAACATCTTAATCAGATAAAGTCCAGACTTATCTGTTCTTATAAGCCATTCAGAGGGGTATTTACGTTATTATGCAGATTTTCATTTAAATAGAACGAAAACATGATTTAATTAACATTTAAGAATGAAAACTCAAATATTATTTCTGTTCACCGCATTTGATGCATGAAAAAAGTAAATCTAAATATACTCAGAAGTTTAAAGGAAACCTTCTCACTCAATCCATGGAAAAATGACTATTCTCCTCTCCATCCACGCAGAACAGAGTATTGCAGGAGCGGCTGTTGCACATGGAGACGCAGCTAAAAGCTTCAGAGGAGAACAGCCAGAGGCTCCGTGTGGAGAGAGACGGACTGCGGGACAGACTGTCAGAGCTTCATGTCAAACTGACTGAGAAGGAAGCTGAGGTGAAGATCAGGCGTTAGTCACAACTGTCCTAATAATAATAATACCACTCATCACTAACAGAAATAACTAACACATCTGCTTTAAAATCCTACACAGTCCGCCTATTTGCTTCTTATGGTGTGTGTGTATGTGTGTGTGTGTGTGTGTGTGTGTATTTTGCGTGTGAACATAGATAGAGCAGGAGCAGGGGGTTGTGTTTGAGTTACGCACCTTGAATCGCTCTTTGCAACAAAAAGATCTCAACCTGGGAGAGGAGAGCTTCCTGGACAGTACGCACACACAACCTTTGTCTCTGCTCAGTGAAATTCAGCAGACACAGGTACTCACAGATACACACATACAGTATCTTTACCGTCCAACCTGGGAACCGTCTGCTAATTCTGAATCTCTTCTCACATCCCTTACCTTAAAAGTGTGTGGTACTAACGGGTGTCCGCTATTAATTTTTATTGGAAACCTGGCAGACATGCCAACATATTGCGACAAAGTCTGAGTAAATATTTTGTGCGATTTATGTTTCCTGTTATTTATAGGCTACAGAGGCTCTCTTGGCTCACTCCTCAG